ATGTACGCTTTGATGTCTGAACCATGTGTTATGGACCATTTACGAAATTGGCAGGTCCGTGATGGACGCCTCGTTTTCCGTGTTACAGACCAAAAGTGCAGGAGCCGAAAACATACTTCCTTCCTCACGAAGTACAAACGTGAATCAAACTCGTGGGAAGATGTAACATCATTTGATCATTTGGACCTGAGAGATCATTTCTGCATTGTAGCTAACGACAATTTTATTTATTTCATTGGTGGCAGTGAATGGTGTGGTGAGAAACGCACCATCCTGACTGATGTTGATAGGTTTGAACTTAGCAGAAAACAGTGGGATAAAGCCGCTGACACTCAAATGGCGAATTGGCGGGCTAGGGGTACTGCTGTGAACGGGAAAATCTACATTACTTTTCAAGCTAGTCCGGAGCCGCACCCGCCTTCTTATGCTTGGGAGGTGTACGATGAAACAACAAATGAATGGCAGATTATTACGGGCATCAGAGATGGACTCAGATACAATGACCATATTCTGTCCGTTGATGGTGAGTTGTATATCGCGTACATAAAAACGGTGTCCCGTTTTTATAATGTAGCCGGTCCGAAACGAATTCGAATTGAACGTTATAACCCTGAAGAGAGTAAATGCGAGACGAAAACTGACGTGACAGTAAGACGCGCGGCAGGGTGCTATTGTCAACGTAACATCGTTTGCCCAATGAGAATTTTCAAAGGACTTTTCAACATGCGGCAGGTCGAAGCCTTCCCTTCTGATGATAGCCTTCCTGTAGCTACTACAACTCAGCCCATGTTAACTTCCAAAAAACGTGAGCGGAAATGCTTAATCATGTGACTTAAAACCTGTCATGTGGAATTCACTTCGCTACAATTTGTGTGTTACCAGAGGCAAATATCTGTCGATATGTTTGACATTTTTTACTACATATTTTTTAGTTCAGTTCCCGTATTCTAAACATTACTGGCAAATGAGGTCAGAAGCGAGCTGTGTCGCAACTGAACTTCGAGAGAGAGGCTTGTTCTAAATTGGTTCACGAGCTTATCAGAGTTAGAAAACAGTCCTTACGGACTACTTTGAAGATAGCATCGTTCTTTTTTAAAGATAAAAATCTTTACAGAACGTTGGCTAATCCTGGTTGTAAAGTTACGATCTATGTTTGAGTTATTTTTTTTTGTAAAAAAAAAAACCTCTTAGTCAACGAGTCTGGGTTATGTTATGAGTGGGTCAATGGGTCAATGGGTCAATGGGTCAATGGGTCAATGGGTCAATGGGTCAATGAGTCAATGGATGGGCGAGAGATGTATGTATGTCACACCAATCAGGCTGGAGCTACTATAAGCAACCAATCAAATTGCCGCTTGTTAAGGTGAATCATGTGTGTGGAGATTTCATCCCGATTTTAGAACGGCCATCTTTGTTTTTCTTCAAACAGAAACAGGTATTCTTGCTTTGGCCTTATTCTGACATTTCCGATGCTTGTTTTACTATGGCTGAGCCCAGGACTTTGTGGATGGGTTTCAAGAGAGTTTAGAATTCGTTAATCAGCCGAAGAATCGCACTCTTTGGTATACACTAACATGTCATCAAGGCTTTGTCCCGGGGGCTTTGCCTTTTGCATTACGTGAAATTTCGAATGAAATGAGTCTTGGCCGCTCGATAACTTGGTGAATTCTAGAACAGGAACGATTGTTTTTAGTGCAAAGGGACGATTACTTTTAATGCAAAATGCACTACTGGGATGGTGAGGGGGCTTTCCTCCGTGCTGATTCGACAGGCTGCCATCGATATCATTTGCATTACGTGCAGTTCACGAAAAAATAATTCAGTCCAAACCATTTATGTTTGCGCAAAATTTTTCAGTTTGTGAATGCAAGTTTCAACTAAGTAGCGCCGTTCACGGAGTAATACTGTCTTCTCGTTGTATCCATCCTTGGAATCGATACTGAGGCCCGTTCCAAACGCCGCGCCATTCATTCGCCGAACCTAACTGATGAGTTAAGTACGGTAGAAGAGCGGCGTTTGAA